AAACTAATGCACAGTGTCAAAAATTGATGTCCATGTATACAACTTGCTCTTTATCACACTTTGAGCAAACAATGATAGGTGCGAGAGTGCAAAAATTGTAGATATAACAAACATTAAAATTGTGAAGAACTTTTTCCTGGTTAACAAAACTGCGATTATACCTACACAAATTTTAACAATTTCAATTAAGTCATATTCTCGTGATCTTTCATTATGGTTTATTGACGCTTTTTTGATTGAAATTTTATCTTTTACAGATTTCAGCAAACCAGACCAGAGAACCTCATTGTGGCAGAACATCAGACTTTCAACCTGTGATTGGACAAGCCATTGGACCACATCGTATCATAAAGCTACTGGAAACCAGTTCACCCTCGAAACTGGAGAGTGACCGACCGAGGATGTACCAAGTGATGACAGTACCGAGCCATATAAGGTAGGGCCGATTGACATGGTACAACGTCTATGTATAGTAATGCTGCCGCGCGTGCCGAGCAAGTTTTATCAGAAACTTGCTTTGCACGAGCGTGTTCAGCTTTGTAAACGTTGAACCATAATCAATCGGCCCAAGTTAACGAAGGGACACCAGGTTAGTGAATTTTTATTACTTATATAATAAGCATAGATGCAGCTTCGACTTTCGGCTCAGATTTCGATTTCGTCTTAGCTTTTTGTTGGATCTAGTTTGAGGTCATCTCAGGCTTCGTATCGACAATGTTCAATATCAAGCATCCAGTTATCACTGCGTAAGATCTGGGGAACCCTGGGGTGTCCATTCCATGGGTCGGGGGCTTCCCATAATTTGCTTATTTGTTTAAACTTTGTAACTAATGAATGCAATTCAATAAAAAATACGAACGCTGTTGTGTTTTCTGTGTCCTTTCTTTAATTTAAGATAACCTTGTAACTAACGATACATCCTACTAATGCAGTTTTATTTCAGCAACGTCGAACATCCAAGATTTTCATCCTTTTTTTGGCGTTATTTTCTCATCTTTTTTGAAGAATATATTTTTTGGCGCGTCCTGTCAAGATCGCCTGCGACATCAACTTTTTTCTTCATTTCTATCAAGATACTCTTTTTGGGGACTACTTTCCTTTCTACGATTGTTCAAGTCTACGCCCAATATGTCCGACTCAAGATGAGCCAAGCTGCATCGAGCTGAAGCCGATCCAGATGATTTGTAGTTAGCGAATTGTAATGTACTTACATGTTGCTGTGGAAGATCAATAAAAGTTGAACAAAAAACAGTTGCCACTTTATCTAATGAGGCTCCTACTACATGGACTTAGTATAAACACTTACTATTCAATCATTATTGTAATAAGCTGCACTTTAATGATCAATAAAGTTACACAAACACGACGCAGCTCAATGTATTTTTTTCCTACTAACGCAGTATACAGCCTTAAAAGTTTTATTTCAGCAACGTCGAACGTAAACTTCTATCTTTTTCTTCCACTGCTTGGATTCGGAGAAGAGGACCCTAGGGGCGCGTCAGGTTCAACCAAGATGCTGGCGCTTTTTTTTGCTAGTTTGGTTCATCCCAGAAATACCCGAACAGACCTCTGATTAGGAATGGCACAAGACGACACGATCAAGAGTTCATCATGTGAAGATTCACCTGATTATTTTAGATGTTCCTAGTTTTTCGATGGGTTTCTCCAAGAAATGCCTGAGGTCACGACCATTGATTTTACAGAGACAAGTGGTGCGTGCTGAAGGTAAGACAAGATTTATGAAGTTTCAGTTATTTCAAAATTCACGATGTCATTTTAGTCAATTTTAGATCAGATGCAACGATGAAGACAGTACGTGCCAAAATACATTCGATAACCATATGGATGTACAAGAAGTGACAGGAGAACGGAGGAATTACCAAGTATAAGCCAATTTGTGTAAGTATCATGAAAAGACATACTCTAGGTTTTTGACAAGAATAGTTTCACACCACACATCCCAAGCAGTTTTTGAACATAAACTGCATAGCAGTAAACGACCACAGAAATCTAGAAAGACAATGATTTGATGTGCCACTCTGCGATGGCATCATGAGATTACAACTTGAAAACGTGAAAGGTTAATCAGTCCGTGTTACCAGCCACACGAACGAAGAATCCTGACCTTGTTTAAATTTTAATAACTGATACTAATTTTCCTGTACGGTTTTGTTTATTTTATTCAGTCGTGATACTCTCCAAAGAACTGGTGCAATATTCAGTGCAGTAATGGTCCATTGTTATTCAAGCCCAGTGCTTCGATCTGCTTAGTTCCTGGTAAGTCTAAGCTATTTCGTACAATTCCACCTACCAAATAGAGTCTTTGGAACCTTTGTTCGCATCATTAAGATTCAATTCTCGGTTGCGGAGATCTAACTTGACTAAAGATGATGGTTAATAGTAAATAGCTAAAGTAAATAAGTGAAGGAAGTAAGGGGGAAAAGACGAAGAATGAAGATCATCTTACACGGAAGAATAAATCAAAAACAGAAGTAGACGACCGAGAAAGCAATGCGACAGTGACATATGGGACACTTTTAACAAGCCTATGGATAAATTATCGTTAGGTTTTGAAGCAGCCAAATATAAAGCATCTATTAAATCTTCACCTGTAGTCTTCAATAATGTATTTTAGATTGTAGTTTGAATTTTCGTTAATTTCGTTATGGTTTACGGAACATTTTAAGCAGAAGTGAATTAGCCAATTATTTTTCTTTCTCCTTGCCGCAGATCGATCCAATTTTCTCGAGCAGACCACCAGACCAGACTACCTCCTGGATCCAGATCACCAGACTTGACCAGACCATACCAGACCATGTGTTTCGGACAGACCATTACAAGAGACCGGCTTCGCCAGACCAGACGAGATCAGCTCAGGTTTCTTCCACAGATCACCCAGCCAGGCCAGAATAGTTTATCAGTCAGCTTCAGATTACCACAGTACACCCAGCCTCCACTGTCAGGATGCCCTTATCAGCTTCTTGTCACAGGTAAGGTCCATTCTTTGTGTGTTGGGTCGTATAAGAGGTGAATATGTAACGCTCTGCATGAATCGTACAAAACATACTTTAAACACACCTTTGGCTTGAAGTCCCTGGACTTCTTATTTTGGCTTTACTTAATCGTAGTTAGAGTAGCTAGCGGGGCTCACTGGGCTGGTGAGGGCCTCCCCTACTCCTTTTTCATAGTTAAATTCCTTTGCAGGTATTCGGTCAGCGACAGGAGTTCGCCTTTTCAAAAACAATTTTGGCCTCGATTAGGTGTCTGTTCGTCTTTTCGTCGGTTTAATTTCGTCGTTTCGCCGTCGTCGTTGTCATCGTCTTCAATGCAGTCTACCGCTTACTTGCGCCAAATTCGGCCAATTTCTCTATTACACTTCACTTGTTAGTCTATGCGCCGGGCAATTGAAGCTTTCACTCAATCATATCCTTTAATTCAAAATTTTATATTATCGTTTTGAAAACTTTCCTTTCTAAAACCTTTTCTGGTCTTTATAGAAATTGCCTCCCGACCAGATAACGAAGAGTCTACTCAAAATTATGCACGCCTCAGCTATCAGTTTAGAAGGTAAGGACGATACGTTATGTTGTTTAAAATAATTATTACAACCCTAGCCAGCACAGTAATTTATCTTATTTAGGTTACTATTTTAGTAAAGTTTTGTACTATTAATTGGGTATACTTTAAGCAACTTGACTAACAGTTAAGGTTGGTGGACTCTCGGGAAGAGCCAAATAACGCCTAATTTGTCGGAAAATTTCCTTGTTTGCTATTTCTTTAATAACCTAATCCACAGTGTCAAAAATTGATGTACATGTATAAAACTTACTCTTTATCAAACTTTGAGCAAACAGTGAACGGTATGAGAGTGCAAAAATTGTAGGTATAACAAACATTAAAATTGTGAAGAACTTTTTTCCAGGTTATCAAAACTGCGATTATAAATACACAAATTTTAACAATTTCAATGAAATGATATTCTCGTGATCTTTCATTATGGTTTATTGACGCTTTTTTATTGAAATTTCACCTTTTACAGATTTCAGCAAACCAGACAAGAGAACCTCATTGTGGCAGAATATCAAGCCTTCAACCCAATGATTGGACGAGCCATTGGACCACATCGTATCATAAAACTACTGGAAACCAGTGCACCCTCGAAACTGGAGAGTGACCGACCAAGGATGTACCAAGTGATGACAGCACCGAGCCATATAAGGTAGGGCCGATTGACATGGTACAACGTCTATGTATAGTAATGCTGCCGCGCGTGCCGAGCAAGTTTCATCAGAAACTTGCTTTGCACGAGCGTGTTCAGCTTTATAAATGTTGAACCATAATCAATCAGCCCAAGTTACGAAAGGGACACCAGGTTAGTGAATTTTTATTACTTATATTATAAGCATAGATGCGAGGTTCGACTTTCGGCTCAGATTTCGATTTCGTCTTAGCTTTTTGTTCCGATCTAGCTTGAGGTCATCTCAGGCTTGGTATCGACAATATTTCGATATCAAGCCGCCAATTATCACTGCGTAAGGTCTGGGGAACCCTGGGGTGTCCATTCGATGGGTCGGGGCCTTCCCATAATTTACATATTTGTTTAAACTTTGTAACTAATTAATGCAATTCAATAAAAGATACGAACGCTGTTGTGTTTTTGGTGTCCTTTTTCTCATTTTAGATAATCTTGTAGTCTAGCTGTGATTACATTTCTAAATGGTAGGAAGGGATATCTTTAGTTATCTTGTACTAAAATCACTAAAAATAAAAGAACAAAACACATTCTTGTCACTGTGGTTTCTTAAACTTATTTTAATATAATAAAACCAACGATACAAGTTACTAATGCAGTTCTATTTCAGCAACATCAAACATCCACGATTTTCATCCTTTTTTGCGTTATTTTTTCATCTTTTTTTCGAAGAATATATTTTTCGGCGCGTCCTGTCAAGTTGGCCTGCGACATCAACTTTTTTCTTCATATTTATCAAGATACTCTTATGGGGGGCTACTTTCCTTTCTGCGATTGTTCAAGCCTACGCCCAATATGTCCGACTCAAGATGAGCTAAGCTGCATCGAGCTGAAGGATCCAGATGATTTGAAGTTAGTTAATTGTAATGTTCTTACATATTGCTGGAAGATCAATAAAAGTTGAACAAAAAACAGTTGCCACTTTATCTAGTGACGCTCCTACTACATGGACTTATTATACACACTTGCTATTCATTTATCATTGTAATAAGCTGCACTTTGATGATCAATAAAGTTACACAAACACAATGCAGCTCAACGTATTTTTTCCTACTAACGTAGTATACAGCCTTAAAAGTTTTATTTCAGCAATGTCGAACTCGAACTTCTATTTTTTTCTTCCACTGCTTGGATTCAGAGAAGAGGACCTTTAGGGGGTGCGTCATATGAAGATGATCAACAACAATTTTTTTAACGTGTTCAACCAAGATGCTGGTGTTTGTTGGTAGTTGCGTTCACCTCATAAATACCTGAACAGACCTCTGATTTAGGACGACACAAGACGTCACGATCAAGAGTTTATCATGTCAAGATTAACCTGATTATTTTACATCTTCCTACTTTTTTGTTGAGTTTCTCCAAGAAGTGCCTGAGGTGAATACTGAATTGACAGAGACAAAGGGAGCGTACTGAAGGTAAGATAAGTTGTATCACGTTTGAGTTATTTCAAAATTCATGTTGTCATTTTAGTCAATTTTAGATCATGCAGATGCAACATCCAAGACAGTGGCAACTGAATGCATTCGACAACCATATGCAAGAAGTGACAGGAGAACGGAGGAATTACCAAGTATAAGCCAAGTTGTGTAAGTATCATGAAAAGACATACTCTAGGTTTTTGACAAGAATAGTTTCACACCACACATCCCAAGCAATTTTTAAACATAAACTGCATAGAAGTAGACGATCACAGAAATCCAGAAAGAAAAAGATTTGATGTGCCACTCTGGGATGGCATATTGAGATTACAACTTGAAAACGTGAAATGCTAATAATTCAGTGTTACCAGCTGACACGAACAAAGTATCCTGATCTTGTTGTCATTTAAATAACTGATACTAATTTTTCTGTAACGTTTTGTTTATTTTATTCAGTCGATATACTCTACAAAGAACTGGTGCGACATGCAGTGCAATGTTATTCAAGCCCAAGGCTTCAATCTGCTTAGTTCCTGGTAAGTCTAAGCTGTTTTCATTTAATTACATCTACCGAATAGAGTATTTGGATCCTTTGTTTGCGTCAGTAGGATTCAATTCTCGTTGTTGGAGATCTAACTTGACAAAAGATGATGGTTAACATAAATAGCTAAAGTCAAAAAAGGAAGGAAGTAGGGCATAAAGGCAAAAAAATAGATCATCTTAGAAGGAGGAATAAACGCAAAAGAGAAGTAGACAACCCAGAATGGAATGCGAAAAAAGTTGACTTATGGGACACTTTTAACCGAAGCCTATGGATAAATTATCGTTAGGTTTTGAAGCAGCCAAATATAAAGCATCTATTAAATCTTCACCTATAGTCTCCAATAATGTATTTTAGTCTCTTTTTTTCTTCTGACTTTCATTACTCACAACAAAAGGCCTGATAAGGGACATGACCATCCTTATTACAAGGAAGATTTTCTTGTCCAAATATTGCACTTTTTTCTTATTATGCTATTATTTAAAGGGATGTGTGGAATACGGCCCTTGATGACCCCTGATTCTGGAAGGTTAAGGCTGCAAATTTTCACAATGAAGCGTTACCTTGTTCTTGTAATTTTAATTATTGTTAATTTCGTTATGGTTTACTGAACATATTAGCAGAAGTGAATAAGGCACTTGTTTTTCTTTCTCTTTGCCGCAGATCGATCCAATTTTCTCGAGCAGCCCACAAGACCACACCAGACCAGACAGACCATTAGAAGACACCAGCTTCGTCAGACCAGACTAGATCAGCCCAGCTTTCTCCCACAGACCACCCAGCCAAACCAGCTTCCTCTCACAGACCACCCAGCCAGGCCAGTCTCCTCTCCCAGACCACCCAACCAGGCCAGCTTCCTCTCACAAAGCACCCAAATAGACCAGCATCCTCTTAAATTTATCAGTCAGCAACACATTACCACAGTACACCCAGCCTCCACCGGTCAGGATGCCATTGTCAACTACGTATCACAGGTCAGATCCTTTCTTTGTGTGTTGGGTCATGGGAGTTTAATATATAAAGTTCTGGATGAACCTTACAAAGCATACTTTCCACACACGCTCGGCTTGCAGTCCCTGGACTTCTTATTTCGGCTTTATTTGATCGTAATTAAAGTAGCAAGCGGGGTTTCCTGGGCTGGTGAGGGCCTCCCCTACCCCTTTTCCATAGTTGGGTTGCTTTGCAGGTATTTGGTCAGCGACAGGAGTTCGGCTTTTCAAAAGCAATTTCGGCTCGATTAGGTGTCTGTTCATCTTTTCGCCATCGTCGGTGTTATCGTCTTAGAGGCGTTCTCCCGCTTAGCTACCCCAAATCAACGGCCAATTTCTCTACCACACTTCACTTTTTAGTCTATGCGCTGGGAAGTGAAGCTTTCACTCGCTAATATGTTTTAATTCTAAATTTTATATCGTCATTTTGGAAACGTTACTTACTAAAACCATTTTTTGGTCTTTACAGAATTTGCCTCACGACCAGATGGTGAAGAGTCTACTCAAAATTATGCACGCCTCAGCTTTCAGTTTACAAGGTAAGGACTTTATGATATTATGCCGTTTAAACTAATTATTACAACCCTAGCCAGCGCACTAATTTATCTCGTTTAGGTTACTATTTCATTAAAGTTTTGTACTATTAATTGAGTTTACTTTTAGCGACTTGACGAACAGTTAAGGTGAGTGGACTCTCGGGAAGAGCCAAATAACACCTAATTTGTCGGAAAATTTCCCTGTTTGCTATTTCTTTACTAAACTAATGCACAGTGTCAAAAATTGATGTACATGTATACAACTTGCTCTTTATCACACTTTGAGCAAACAGTGAACGGTGTGAGAGTGCAAAAATTCTACGTGTAACAAACATTAAAATTTTGACGAACTTTTTCCTGGTTAACAAAACTGCGATTATAAATACACAAATTTTAACAATTTCAATTAAATCATATTCCCGTGATCTTTCATTGTGGTTTATTGACGCTTTTTTAATTGAAATTTTACCTTTTACAAATTTCAGCAAACAAGACCAGAGAACCTCATTGTGGCAGAATATCGAACATTCAACCTATGATTGGACAAGCCATTGGACCACATCGTATCATAAAGCTACTGGAAACCAGTCCACCCTCGAAACTGGAGAGTGACCGACCGAGGATGTACCAGGCGATGACAGCACCGAACCATATAAGATAGGGCCCATTGAAATGGTACAACCTCTATGTATAGTAATGCTGCCGCGCGTGCCGAGCAAGTATTTTGGCAGTGTCTTCGATCTTGTATCTGATCTAAAACTGTTATTATTCTAGTTTCTAGATCATCTTTAGTATCGATGGCAGTGCCTGAACCAGTATGTGTCAGGAAGAGATCTTCGCAAATGCCACGCCTAGTGACCGTGAGTATAAAAAGAGAGTTTCTCCGCAGTTAACAATAATTTCACATTATACGCCTTAACAAGCAATATAAACAAACTCCACAGCCGTAGACAACGTACTGAATTAAGAATGATTTTAAGCCCAACTCTGGGCCAGATTGCATTTGGAGATAGGAGCATGAAGACCGATACATACTAGTCATAATTACCAGACACGAAAGGAGAATTCTTGCCATCTTTAAGCTGGTACTAATTTTCCTGCAAGGCTTTTTTTATTTTAAACAGGTGAAATACTCTACAGGGACTAGTGCGATTTGCAATGAAGCCGTTCTTCCCAACGTATTTCAAGCTTAGGTTTCTTGGTAAGTCTACGTAAAAGAAGCTTGTCATGCAATTTAAGCAAAAGACCATTTACAGTTGTGGGGTTAGTACCTTAGCCCTCGACAGAATGTGAGGCTGAGGTTTCCCCTGTTTTGGTAAAACCTTCCTCTGTTTTCTTATGGAAATTCCGCTGGAAAAATACCAGTTAGCGTAAAAATAACGTGGTGATTTATATTATAAAGTAGGAAGGGATGCATCAAAATAAGGTCAACTCCAGCCTTAGTCTGCTACACAGCCGTTTTTAGTGTCGTCACGCAACGCTCCTCCCCGGAGCGTTGCGTGACGACTCTAAAAACGGCTGTGTAGCAGACTACTCCAGCCTCATTTAACTGTAAAATGGGCTATTCCGGGATCGGAGTCCCGACTGGGGCCCATTTCTTCAAAGTCCTGTCAACTTTTAAGGCCCGAAGGCAAAAAAAGAAAATCAAAATGAAAAACTAGAAGAGTAAAGGCGTTTGAGCTAGCTAACAAATCAGTCCATTGAATTCAAAACCAGGCTTTTATTAAAAAAGGGAAAAATGAAGGCTGTGTGTTTGTAGATTACTTCAGAAAAGTACTGCATGCGGAAGCTATGGCTAAGCTCTAGTAGGATCATAATTAAAAGAGGTAAAGAAGGCTTGTATCTCACAGACATTTTTAAACTATTTTTCTTTTTTAACAGGTACCAGGAAACTACAGGATCAGAGTGCAATTCTGACTGCGCCGACACTCTAGCTGCTGGATCAGAGTAGTGCAATGGACATTAATTACACCATCAATCTTGAACGCTGAACTTTTTGTGACCTATTTTAGGAAAAAAAAATATGTAAATGTATGTTAGCAGATTAAATTTTAAAGAAAGATATTTGAGTTTCACGCATGATAAAATTAGAAATTATCAGAGCTACAAAGATTGAATTGAAAAAAAATTAAGGGTGGTTATGAAGATCTCCTTTCTGATTAACTGCATAGAATTTATTCGGCGTGCCGGATCTAGGTAGATCCGTCAGTAGTAATTAAGAAGTGAAATGTATCTGAGAATGCATTAGAATAAATATAGATTTATGACTTTATGTAGCAGGAAAGTACGACTTATTAAATCGTAAAAGCAAGAGCAAGAAAATAAGAACAGAAAATCTTCTGTGCTTAGTTTAATGTGAGTTGTGCAGAGTTCAACCGAAATCATGTTCTAGGCCGTTTTTTAGTTTTACCTACTAATTGGGACCATTTGCTTGGAACTTCTGATCCAACCTAATCGCTTAATTGCACACGCTGATCTATAACCTAACGCTTAACATAAGCAGCTGTAACATCTCATAATTACTTTCAGAAGCTCCAAGTAACAAAAAAAACCTTTGTTTGGTGTGTTTTTGACGTGTTAAACAGGCCTTTGCTGTTTCTTAGGCAAAGCTAAAAGTAAGAAACGAGAAATCGGAAAGGGGAGGGGTGTATCGAATCCTCTCCAATCCTAAAAGTCCTGAATTTATCTAATAGGAACTCTCACGGCTTTCAAACCTTTATGAAAACAGTGTTTTTTTTTGTAGAAAACTTATCAGTTACTCAGTCGACCTTAGGCAAAATATGTAATCGAACTTTTGTTGCCGGTACGTAGTTAGTAGGTGTACTTAAGCTTTCTGGCCAAAGAGACTGCTATCAACGAGGAGATGAAACTTGTAATTTAGATAACGCTCTTTTGATCTCCTCTACTTTTCTTTAAAGGCAGTTCATTTTATTGTTTTCTGTGGAATACCAGCGAATAGAGAGGGACATTTCAAAGCTGACGTTAACATTTGTCTCCGTTTGGTCACGTGCAAATATTTCCTTTTTCCTTTTGCGTAGCTGTTAGACATGTATATATATATGTAATAAAAAATATGTATATATGAAAAATATAAATGTGTAATAAAAATCTGCTCAATTGAAACACTCGTAAAGAAAATTACATGTACAACTATAGCTTTGTTATAACCTAACTGTAATTATGAAAAAAGTTTAGGTCATCTTCTGATCTGCATGTATACGTGTTACTGTAACATTAGAATAAGATGTGCTCGGTCATTTACTAGTTGTTTCCTGGTTTTTCAATAAATTTTTTCATTGACTGCTCATTGATTGTCTCAGTAACTGAAGAGTGAGGGCACCCTTATTAAGTGATCCGTATTTCAGAAGTAACAACATCTTTTATCAGGGGCACCCAACGTCAATTTTTGGAAAATATCTGTTTGGAAGACGATTTGAGATCTAGAATTTTCGAAACATCCGTTGTGAGATTTCTTGCTTGCCTGCCTCTCCTAGAATTTCGAACATCTAGAAAATGTTATAATTGCCCATTTTTAACGGAGTTTTACCCTAAAAAGGTAACCTAGAATTTTCGGGAGCCTTTTTTCTGGCTGAAACTTTTGAAAAGGTACGTTTTGATCCCTATAATTTTCAGATCACTAGACTTTCAGCTTGGAAAACCGAATCCATGAAAAATTTTTAGGGGATAAAAATATGACTATATCTACCGTTTAAATACTAAATTACGTTCAACGATGCTATGTTTAACTGGTTTTGAAGTATATTTTCGTTGGTGCCCCTGTTTTATTCTGGCCATTTTAAGGGTTGTACGCTGAGGAACCTAGCTTTGAGTGGAACCGATGTTAGCGGCCGTGGTGGCTGGTCGTCTATCGGTTGTAGTTAACTTTTATCTCAGGACCTTTGTTTTTCTTTTGTTTTTGGACAGGTAATGTATGCTAATGACCTTGAAACAAAAGAAAAATAAAAATTACCTGAGATAAAAATTAACTAAAACATCTACATCATTCGCAGGTAAAATCCTCCTTACCTTTTTAACGTATGTACACGATCAAAACGTCTGCAACCCCAACGTTGTCTGTGGGAATAAAAAGAACACGACATATCCCGCTTCAGACGTCAGCTGCGAGTTTCAACGACATGTTTACTTTCTTTACTGACGAGTTATGCTTTGAAAGACTCGATCGTTTGTACATCTAAACACGGGATATCTAAAAAGAAATTATTTCTGAATCTAATGGAACTTAAAGGTGTCGCATCTAGTGAGTGATGCATTACTATAAGGTGTTCAGATCTTAAGAGAAAGTAGAAATATAGAAAGAAATATACGCTATTGACCAAACGAGAGGTTATGTACCCGCTATGTATGAGATCCCATTAACTTAAGAAAAATAATTCTGCTTGTGTCTTGAAAGATAGAAAAACTGATATTTCTATCGTCTATGCTTGTTAATCCGTTAGGTTTTCCGTAATTTTAAGTCACTCTAAGTAATTTGCCCAAGTGAGAGATTTCAGCGTTTGGATGATCACTCACCATAGTCATCCCATTTTACAATATTATGGAGTTTGCTGTAGACGATGCTGGCTGGGTTCGGGCGCCTTTCCCAATTACATGCCTGGAAAGTAAGCGCTAGCCATCCAGTGTCATTATTGCAAGAGATATGAGGGCCTGCGATGTAAAATGACCTCTCTGAATCTCCTGGGAGTGAGAAAAATGTCGGAGGTTGCTAGTCAAGTCTTCCCATGGAGAAAAAGTTACTCGATCTGCCGAAAACCAGTTTTCTTTGTCACTGTTTGTAGCATTGAACACAATGGAAAGAACTTCATTGCCGTTTTTGTACAAGGCCACGCGCGCCTGTAAAAAGGACATGTCAAATATCTTAATGAAATATCAAAAGGATGGGAAATGGACATATCATAGGCTCTTATCCCCGGTTACGGGCAAACAGACTCGTCTCAAAGTCGACTAAGACTAGTAGGCTAGTTTTTACAAATGATTTGCAAGATAGTGTTAAACTCCCTAACTTAGCTTCTATTTTACCTTGTTTATATTAACGATTTAACTTCATTCGGATTCCACTTGAAGATTACCTCACGTGGGACAAATAAAAAATATTACAAAAGTTATGTGTTTCAATGCAGTGCGTTTACGCAACAGGACGGCAGAAAGAGGGGGGAGGCAAATACTTGTGTGTGACAAACGTGACAGGGCTATTACTTGCATGTTTTGTCGTAATCTTCACTAAATATCAATGTTTTTTAGTCTTTTACAAAAAGATCTGTTTAAAGAAAGGTGAAGTTTGAGGCCAATTTTTTTCAAACTAAATTATTGTCACGCTTGTCGCACAAGGTTTGCCGCCTTCTTTGCTCTCCCGTCCTGTTGCGTGAGTGCACTATTAACCAGTCAAGGGACCGCAAACGAATATGCCGCAGATGTGCCGAATATGTCTCAAAGCAGGCCTGATCAGCAAAAATATACGAAGTAACACACTGAAATCTGCAAGGCTGAATTAACTTTGCGAGACATAAACACAAAACCGTTAGAAACCAAAACAGAGCGAAACAGCTGTTTTTTGGACGGCTTAGTACAACATAGCTCTGTTTTGGTTTCTATTGGTGTCGTGTTTATGTCCTGCAAAGTTAATTTTCATGTTGTACGATCA